GTGCCTTTGTAAAGCAAGATCTCACCTCACTCACAATCCTTTTGGTTTAGAGCCACGACATCTCCAAAGGACAGATCAGAAGCGACCAAAGGGTTTGACGCTCGTCCCATGGGCTGTTGGTAGGCAGCTCCTTTGGAATGTAACGGAAGTTGACCCTCTAGCCCCTAGTAGAATACGCGCAGGCTTGGTTTGTAACCTCCGAACGGCCGCGGCCGAGGAGGAAGATCAAAAATCTGATAAGTATAGAGATTTAATTAATGATGGATATATTTTACAACCAATAGTTTGTAAAGTTCAGGGTGCCGCTGCCCCTATCACTGAGATTTTTCTGAATAAACTTTTTAAGAAATTGTGCACAAGTACCGATGAACCCAGGGCAGGTAGTTTCTTAAGCACAGAATCTCCCTGGCAATACAGATTGCGAATGCCGCCGGCGTACTCGGCAAAATAAATGACAAAACAACTTTTCACGAAACTTTTTATTTGTAACACTATATCTTTTAAAATTTGTTTTCTAGCGTCGAGTTGCGTGTTCTTATTGAACTAACGTAACCGATATCGAGTTTGATTTTAAACACATCAACACTAATCATCTTTTTATCCTAATCATTTCCTTATCTAGAAAATTCCGAGGAGCTTGACTGGATAATGTGATGAAGGAACTCCTGACTCCAACCGCGGCGACTACGATACGTTCGACTTTATGATTGTTCCATGGACCACACATTGATCTGGCTTTGTTAGAGACGGTTAAAAGCATGTGAAGCTGCGTGTAGACACTAGCCAGTCGTTTTAGGACCTAGCTTTATTTCCCGTCGGTATGTACTTCCGGGCGAATGTTACATTGGGTAGCCACTTCGGCACGGACATTTACTAAACAGGGTACAAAAGAGGCAAAACCAGAGAAAGAATAGATTGTAAAATGGATTTTAATAATAAATAACAAAAAAGAATTGAAAGCGATTACAACCTGGTTTTACTTTGGTGAAGATTCCGGCGGGTGTGTCCGGGTAGAAGGGGAGTATCGCGGCTTGACGAGCTCGTCGCTAAAATCCATGCTCGGGCCTTCTTGAAGCGTACCAATATTGTCATTCACATGAAACTATTTAATAAGTTTATTTTTTATTAGGCAACAATTAGGCTAATAGCATCTTCGTCGTTCACTGAATTTTTGCACTTGTCACATTCGAGACTTCTGAGCTGCGAGACAACCTGACTCTCAAAACTCTAGTTGATCCTGAATTCGATCTAGTTCATCCAAATATTTGACAAAATCACTGCTAAAACCGAACCCATAGCAACATCGTCTTTCAGTACGTGCCAAATTCCGTTGCACAGAAAATAGACACTGGTCCCGGCAAGTTTCAGTAGCGACCTTGTCCTTTCACGATACATTGCAGGAATTTCCAGCTGAGAATACAATAAGTCAACAACCAAATCAATTGATTTATCAATCGGAAGATCAGTACAACTTTTTTTTCTACGTCAAGTGATGTAATCACTAAATTCATCTTCATCCATTCTCATAATCTGCAGTTGATCTTTAATCGCACACGAGGACTTTTTTTATTTAAGATTCTGGAATTTAAGATTCTGGAATAGCAAATCTAAAACATACTGTGGAGGATCTAGGCCTCCTAATAACATGCCTTGTTATACCAAGTCCACTCAAAGGTTTCTCTTGGTCGGCAGACAGCTGCACCAGCTTCGTGTGGTGTCTCATCGAGGCACTGTAGTCTTCCGAGCGAGTGATATGCCGTGCGTACAAACAAACAATCATTAGTAACTCGGGATTGATGTTGTTCTTGATCTAGTTGGAGTAGGAGTAACAATAGTAAAATAGGCTTTACGACAATTGTCCAATGGTTTTCAGCCCTCAGTTTTCATCTGACACAAAATTGACTTTTTCAGGGTGTTGCAGATTCCACTAAAGCATAGAAAAGGTGACGTAGGAATCATAGAAAGTGTGCAGCGGAAAGCGATCTCGTGGATTTTCATGACAAGCAATAGCCATATCTCCTATAAAGACAAACTCGTGAAACTTAACATCCTTCCTTTGTCTCTATACCAAGAGCTTCATGTTGGATTGCTGTTTGTAAAAATACTAGCTGGAAAAGTTGACATCGACTGGAGAAGCCATGTAAGCATCACTGACGTTGGAAATCAAAGAGCTCAAATGACACGAAATTTCGTCTGCAAACAAATGCGTCTGAAGAAGTGCGGGTCGGATTTCTGGTTTCGGGCATGTCGTCTTGCTAATCTGTACAACGAATACTTCAAATGTGACATATTGTTTGACCCAGAATGCAAAAACAGACTTCTAGGAATGTACACAAAGTTTTTCAAAACTCGCTACAACGAATCAGACACATGCACTTGGCGCATTTTATGCGAATGCAACAACTGTAGAGACCTGAAGAAACTTACACTTATAACTGAAAACTAAACTTTGAACAATGCAATGACTGGGTTTTATGCGAACCCTTGGATTATATTCCTAAATCCTTTGTTATTATTATTATTATAGCACGCACCATGTTCTTGGAAGTACGTTTGATATAGCTTAGTCATTGTAACTTTGTCGATTACTCCATCTATTTTAACACTCCTCTGTACGATGTTCATTTGTTTGGACGCTCTGATCCAAAAGTTTTCGTCTAACTTTTTTAAGCGGGGTCGGGACACGTAGAACTCATTTTGTTGTCGTGTTGAACCTCCTCGACTGAATTTTGCAAGTATGTTATCAGATGCGTAGTTTCCTTGTAGCACATAAATATAGTACAAGACATCATGCAGCTCCATGTACATGGATAGCGGCCGGATTTTTGTACGGAGTAGTCTCACCTTGTAGATGGTGCAGCCTTGCATATCCATGAAGTCGCTTTTTTTGAACTTTTTTGATATTTTTATCGGTTTTTGAGGGGTACCATACCTGTGAGGTTGCTTTCTTAAATGGTTGCTTTCTTAAATGTTTTTCTCATCAAGAAGTACAGAAATCTCCAACCCTTGAGATTTCGCGTGCTGCGATTTTCGCTTCATGATAGGTTGCAGGACAACATGACCCAGGTCCTATTGAACATTAACACTTTTTATCTGACTGTTGTTATCGCCGGCCTCTGTCGTTTGGATTATGCAAAGGAGATTTGTTTTGCTCAAATTCTGTTGCATTTTTTTTTCGCTGCTCCAAGTTCCGATGCCAGAAAGTAATCGCTATGCGTTTTGGAGTGAATTGGTTACAATTTTGAAATCATCCGCGGATCCATAAGCTTCTCCTTCGTTTATGGCATCTGCCAGATCGTTTACGTACACAAGAAAAAGGATCCTTGCGGTACGCCACTTGTGCAAGCATAATATGATGATTGACAGCTTCCATGCAAAAAGAGTCTGCTCTCCAGCAGCTGCTTCTATTCTTGACCACGTCTACAAAGAACTGGACAAAAAGGAAATTACTCAAATCAATGCAATATACATTGACTTTGTAAGGCCTTTGACAAAGTCTGCCACCGTAAACTAGTCGGAAAGAAAGAAAAACCTTGGTTTAGGTGGGGAAACTGTTACCTCTCCTACACAGCTACCTCACAGATCGAGAACAAAAAGTTAACTTTTTGTTCTCGATCTGTGAGGTAGCTGTGTAGGATATGTAACAGTTTCCCCACCTAAACCAAGGTTTTTCTTTCTTTCCGACTAGTTTACGGTGGCAGACTTTGTCAAAGGCCTTACAAAGTCAATGTATATTGCATTGATTTGAGTAATTTCCTTTTTGTCCAGTTCTTTGAAGACGTGGTCAAGAATAGAAGCAGCTGCTGAAGAGCAGACTCTTTTTGCATGATCACGTAATGAGATCGGTGAAGGTATAGCTCTAATAAGGGTGCAGTTTTTTCGCGCTACTCAAACTTTCCCGCCCTGCGCTAGTCAAGGTGTCCCGCCTTGCTCTACTCAAATTTTCATCCCGATGCGGAATGACAGTTTTTGTTCAGGAGACAGCTATACGTAGAAGATGTTTCTGAAATCTGTGGACTACTTTTCTCAAAACAACCATTCTCTGGCAACTGAAATTTGAAAAAGCGTGGATTCAGAACAAGCGTGGATTTTTCAAACATCTTTCAAACAACAAAAAGTTCACCCGTAACCGCCAATCGATAGTTTTACGGATCTCATGCATGTATTTGAGAAAAAATTGCCAAGTCCCATGTCTTTGCAATATCTTTTTAAAAGTTTATATGGGAACGGCATTGAAATAAGTTGAAAAAGTATTTTAGCACCTAACAGGAATGCTAAGTAACACAATTTTAATCACATTCGAAGAAAAATAAGAAGTGTACATTCGCCTCCAGAACTGCCTCGCAACTTTGAGGAAACAAATGAACACAACTTGATTGATTCGTGGCGACCAGGTGAATTTCAATGGCTACAAAGCCTACCACTACTAACCTCATAAAAGTGATTTAAATGAGCGACTGTTGCGATTCGTTGACCCTTAAATTGAGCAAAACTAATTGACCAGGTCGAGACGGTGAAAAACACGTGGAGCTAAGGTGTCTGAAGTCAGCCAGTCGGCCATAGGAGCTTTTTCTCTTTTCCGTCCCGGCATCATCTTTAGCCGAATTTTACAAGAATTGTGTGTTGTGTTTTCTAAAGGTCCGCTCGAAAAAGGTTGTTGTCTTAACAGTTGTCGTCTTATTTGCTGAGCATTTTCAAAATGAAAAAAGAATGGGACTAATCAACTTTTCAGCATTGCACAGCAGCATCAAAACGGTTGCGCTTTTTCAGAACCGCCGATTTTTCGAATAACTTTAAAGCCGCTTTCTTTAAATATATTTTTTTTGTCAACCATCATCTGCCATGCAACTTTTTAAGAAACAATGACAAAAAGGCAAACGCGAAACTTTAAAGGACTATTTTGAATTAGCTTTTGCGTGGAGGTCAGAAATTTTTCAAATTTTTTGATGGTAGTCCAATAAATTTGTTAAAAACTTCAAGTGCAAAGTTTCTCTTATTCCAGAAATAATGATATCTATTCGAGCGAATCCTCTGGCAGAAGAATACGGTTTAAGTAATTTACTTCATTCAGAAGAGTCTGTATTGCACAAAAGTGTAGATTCTCAAAAACGCCCATACATCATAGGACATTACCCAACAAAATCGTGCTTCTACATAAGATATGGTATGCTGTTTATTCACTACAAATTTCAAAAACTTGAATTCACAAATCAAAATTGATAGTCAAAAGGTCACGGTACGTGTAAACACATGTCATCAAGCAATCAGTCGGCAAACAAAAATGATAAACTAGCCACTGTAAGATGAAAACAAAGGTGCGTACCCACAGAGCCGCATTCCTGGATAGCCGAAAAAGTTAAAAGTTTCTTCTTAAGGTAACTAGAAACAAATCAAAATTTGACTAAAAAGGCAAATTGTTCACAAAGTTTGGACCACTTTTATTCGTACGATTAAATTATCTTTTTTTTTCGTAACTTAGCTAACAAAAAATCCGAGACAAAACAATTTCTATGCGTAATAGCTTTGATTTCATGGAATTCTAAAGCAATAAAAGTGTGTCTTTTTTTGATAACACACTAATTTTTTTCGGCTATCCGGGAACAAATTTTTTTCGGCTATTCAAATAAAAAATTATTTGATTATCAGTGAACAAAAATATCCTGTAAATTAACCAATAAGAGCAAAATTAAAAAATGTTTTCAGATGGACGCAAGGAGTAGGCGCTAAAAATGTATTCAAAACCTATTTTTTGCCATATATTTTTCAAATGCTTGCTGTCTCAAGTTTTTCTCAAAAGTAAAATCTTTACAGCATTTCAGGATAGCTCAAGTTAAGCCGATCGAAAAAAAGCTCGAAATTTTTCATTTTTTTCCTTTCCGCATCATAATTTTTCTTTTCTGAGGATCTGTAAATTACTTGGGATTGGGCAAAATTAATGTCAGTATGCATAAATATATTAAATATACGGTGGCCAGTCAATGAGCAGAATGGGTCCAAAAGCAGTAAAATATGAACTTTTGTGAGCTGATCGGTAAATGAAGTATAATAATAGTCAATATTACCAAGGAAACTAAGTTTTATTCATAATTAGAGGAGTTTAATCGAGATTTTAAAAAAATTCATAAAAAACTTGATAAAATTATTCAATTCATGAATAATTCATTCATTTTCATGGTGTTATTGACAATTCTGATAATCGTTTTAGCAATTTTTCTGTATTAATCAGTAGAAGTTAATATTTTCTGCTCTTAGACCATTCTGCTTATTGCTCCGCCTCCTAAATATACATCTGCAAAACAAAATGTATCGGATGACGCAGTTTCTTCACAGGTCTATAATGGCATGTTTCGTTTGCTGAATTGGTTGCTCATTCCAGGAAATGAAACTAAAGGAGTTCTGAAATATAAGATGACAGGCAAAGAAATCATAGATTTCTACCATACATATGTTGAGGAAGAAGAGCGGGGCAAAGGGATCGGAAATTTGCTAGCAAAGGTAAATTGTGTTTGTAATATATTGAGGTCTTATTTTTTATTTCTACAGTCTACAGTAATGGAATTTTGCCTTAATCTGGAATCCGCGATAGATGTTCATCAGATGAAAAATTTCAATTTGAGCAGGGTTGCAATGTTTAGTTTTCTTTCTGTTGTCTCATATTATCGGGACACCCGGATTCTAGTTAATAACTGTTTCTCGCTGTTAACTACCTACTTCGGCCAAATTTTAACAACCAATTTCGGGATCTGTGAGATAATGAATTGGTTAATGAATACTATGTAGTGAATGAGTGAATAGGCTAGGCGTAGAAATTATCAGTGGTGCAACCGAATGTTCGAACGTTCGTTCGAGGAAAAACCTTCGAAGGCTCCCGCAAACTTTCGGTACTATTCGACCTGCGTGTTTTTGAGTTGCTAACTCTAAGTATCCAAGACTTACTACTTTAGTGAGAAACATCTTCTAGTTACCAATCTCAAGTACCTCGCTTGAGCGTATTTTAAGCACTGTTGGAAACGTTTTTAACAAGAAAAGAGCAGCACTTGATCGTGTTAACATGCAAAATATTTTGCATGAAGTTGTTGAATCTTATTTTTTTTCAAGAATTATTGCACTTGCGAGAGCAAAAGTCTTTTTTCCAATAAACAACTCTTCTTACTAATTTTAGTTGCTTTTTTACTTGCTTTATAAATCAACCTGAACAACTTCCAGGTTCGATCTCACTTGGCTTAGAGATAATGTTTCTTCCGGTAAAAGTTATATTGTCGGATTTTTGTTTGTCTGCTCAAGTTTTGCCGGCTTAGTTGACACAGCACGGATTTTTCTTGTGCTGTGGGCAGTTTTTATTATAGTTGCAAGTGTTGTTCATTGTAGTTTGAGGGCGGACTTGAAACTTTGTTTTATAAAATAAAATCTTTTTTTTTCTGCTCAACTGGTGTCTGCTCAATTAGTATCGGCTTTGTTTCCGATTCGTAACTTTTGTTGTGTTGCTAATTTAATATTCAAACGTTTTGCTTAGCATGTTTGGTAGATCTTTTTTAAACATTTTTTCAATAATTTTTCGACTTTCTTAAATATTTGTAATGCAGCGCAGGTGATGCGAAGATGGCTTTACCTCTGTGTTTTGCTTGCAGTTAGCTAGAGTTATCAAATCGGAACATTGACTTTTTTTACTTAACAACTATTTTAACAAAATCACTTCGCCATCAGAGATATCTGTTCTACAATTTCTGAATATTTGTACATAATAGTTTTAAACCAACTGATGTTTTTTGCTTAAAAAATTTTGGCTTAAGTAATTTTGACGAGAATTTCTCAACTTAGTCGCCTCGTGTGTCATCGTTTGAAGGGAAATAACAAATTTTTATTTGTTTGTGTGCTGGGTTTTTGTGAAACTTTAAACTTGAGCTCAAAATTTGTCATGGCGAAGAATTTTTGGCTCAATAAAAGAGCAAAAAGCGTCTATCCAGTTTTTGTCTGCTTAGTTACTGATTCTTATTTTTTGTTCAAGGTGAATATGCTGCTGACAATTAACTTTTTCATCTTTTTTCTTAATATTAAGTTCCTTCGAGTCAACGTATGAAAATTTGATAGACCTTGTTTTCGATACTTTTCAGAATAACATTTTCCAAACACTTGTCTTATTTTTTTGTCGGCTAGTTTTAATGCTATTTGGTGATCCATTGCAAGAGGAGCGTCTGAGTTGCTTTTTTTAACTACTCCAGTTGTTTCAAAGCTTTTGGCTGATTTTGTCTTCGGTTACTGGAATTTTAGGTCCGTTTTTGTCGGTTGGTTTGATTTTTGTATGAGGTTTATGGGGCACGTGAAAATGCTTTCAAAATTTTATTAAGTGTGCTCAAAACTAGTGTGTCTAGGGAACTCGGCTGTAAAAAAAACTATGCTTTTCTCAGTAATCGATAAAGAATAATCGGTTAAACTTTTTTCCGGTTAAAAAGCTTGTCTGAGAAATATGTAAGAAACACACACGCAGCTGCTGATATTTACAGTTTAATGATGGAGTGCTGATGTTCTTGATAATGTAATAAGATTTTATATTACGCAGCGATAAATTTTTGCTTTGAAGTTTATTGAAAATGTTCTTTCTTCAGATTTCATTTCCATCTTTGTCGCCGTGTTCCATTTTTTTTTCAAATGAAATTATGTTGAAAAAAACAGCGCGGTTTTTACAAATGAGACTGATTGGTGGATATTACGTTCTCACCAAGTTTTCAAATAAAACTTTATAATTTCACTATTTTCGGATCGTTTTTGTTCCAATTTTTGTCTGAAATCTTCTGATGTTTTTGAAATTCCATGTACATCATACATATGCGAAATGTTTACAGAGCTTGATACCATCTGAATAATTTTAATGTCTTTTGATATCATACTATCCAGATTAAGTTTGAGTAAGGTTTTGAAAAATTTGCTTGTTTCGAACATTAGTTGTTCCGAGAGGGAAAGAACCATAGAATAACCTGGTTTTTTTGTTACAGCCGATTTTGACGAACTCAAGAATGTTTGTATTGAGGTCAATTGTGATAACATCTGACTCCTACTTTTTCCTGATTCAAATGATAAAACAGATTTCAAATAAGTTTTTAATAGATAAATTTTCCCGCTTTCGAAACTCCGCTTTGAACCCTGATGTATTTAAACTACGATTCATACGTTATTTTAGATTTTACTAAAACGTATTCATGCTGTTTTTTTAAAGCTAAGTCAAGCAGCCGTTTGCAAAAAATTGTCATAGTCGCTTACAATGATTATTTGTGGTAAGTTTTTAAATTGAAAAACAAAATAAACCTACTCGCTCACCTAATTCGCTCCAAATTTGACCAAAAATTTCAAACGGGTTTTTCTCGACGCTGAGAAAAGTTTTTAAATATCGTTCGAATCACGACTGAAAGGAATTGGGAGAAAAATATTTTTTTTTCCTTTTCCTTATTTAAATTTCAGAGAGCAAGTTTCTTTTAATCGGGAACAAGACTTTTTTCCCGTAATCAACTTTTCTTACAAATCTTTCTTGAATTTCTTAGTTGCTTTTTTTTACTGTACCTCAACAACTTTCAGGTTCTTTCCCGCTTGGCCTAGAGTTAAGGCCATCGCCTTCACACCCTAAGATCTAGACCGTGTTCCTTTTTCAGCATGTATGCAATTGAAATTTTATGCGGTTAACATGATTTTGACATCATGGATTTTGCTTGTTCTGTGAGCAACTTTCATGATAGTTTTAAGTGCAATCTATTATATATTTAAATGCGGGTTCACTATCTCGCCATGTTCAAGCTTATTCAACGAATTATTGTTGCATGTTTAACAAAAGAATTTTTTCACGTTTAAGGTATATCGTATATTGCAATGGTTAGGATTTTTTTTTCAATTTTTCTGTTTGAAAACTTCACCAAGTTTGAAAGTAGCAACTCAATAGTGAGCTGCTGTCTAAATTTCCCCGCCCGCATGTTGCAATTTTGGCCTCCATATATCAATAAGCAATTCTTTTAGGTTACGAGAAAAGTCAATTTTCGAGATTTTTCAAAAATTTCTAGAAAATTTTTTTTTTAAAAAAGTTTCTGAAAATTTGAAATTCGCAACCCTGTAGTTGGAGGATGTCAGGGTAGTCTCAGGGGTTGCGAATCTTGCCTCCAAATCTTACTTCTCAAATCCTTGTAGTTTTCGAGATATGACGTTTCTTATGATTTTTCAAAAATTTTCAAAAAACTAAAGAGTTGAAAAAATTCAAAACTTTGAAGATCTCAATCCTGTAGATGGAATTGGTGAGGGTACTCTCAGGAGTTGCGAATCTTGCCCCTGAATATGACTGCTCAAATCCTTGTAGTTTTTGAGATTTGATATTTTTTAAAAGAACTGTACAAAATTTCACAAAATTTGAAGTTCCCACCTCTATAGAGAGGCTTTTTCAGGGTACTCCCAGGAGTTGTGAATTTTGTCTCCAAATATGACTGCTCAAAACTTTGTAGTTTTTGAGATATGACGTTTTTTTTTGATTTTTTTTTCAAAAAGTTTTCAGAAAACTTAAGTTTAATTTTCTTTCTTCTAAATTTGAATTTCCCAACCGTTTAGTTTATGGCTGTCAGAGTGGTCTCAAGGTCTCAGGTGTTGCGAATCTTGCCTCCAACTGTAACTGCTCAAGTCTTTGCAGTTTTCCAGATATGACGTTTTTTGTTATTTTTTCAAAAAAATTTCAGAAAACAAATTTATTTTTTCTTCAAATTTTGAAGTTCCTAACCTCCTGTAGTTGGGGGCTGTCAGAGTACTCTCAAGGATTGCGAGAGATCTTGCTCCCAATTGTGACTAGTCAAATCTTTTGGTTGTTTTCGAGATATGACGTTTTTTTCTGTTTTTTTTTCAAATTTTTTTTAGAAGTTTTTGAAATTCCCAACGCTGTAGTTGGGTACTGTAAAAGCTGTAAGAGTTGCAAATCTTGCGTCCAAATGCGACTGACCAATTAGTTTTAGATTCCGAGAAGTAATGTTTCTTAATTTTTCAAAGATTTTAAAGTTTTCAAAGAACTTGGATATTAAAAACTTAATGGTTTTTAAAAATTTGAATTGAAAAAACTTGAATAGAAATTTTTTTTCAAAATTTGAAATTACCGACCCTTTAATTCGGTGCTGTCAGAGTACACTCAAAGGATGCTGAATTTTTTCCCATTTTTTACGGTTTTTTATTTGTTATTAAAAATTCGAAGCACCGGAGGTGCGGTACACGCTAGTTAATGTTGATCGTAATTTCAGGGGGACTCGAAAATGAAAAAAAATAATATTAATTTTTTTCACTTCTACCGGTGTCTACTCAAAGAATATCGGTTTAATTGCAACATCGGCGTTTTTTTTTGTGCTGCTAGCAAATTTCCTTGTAGTTTCAGGAGGGACTTACGAGAAGCTTGCGATTAGAAAGCGTTATCAAATGGTAGCTAATTTTTTTTTCCACCGAGAAACTTGGTAACATAACTAAATCACTTAACGGCTTGATTTTTAATAAATCCAATTCAATGTCCTACTCTGTACGTTTGGCGTGGTGAAAATGTCCATGCATGAAACTACGAATATCCAGTGCTTTAATCCTGTCAGCATATGTTCGAAAGCTGATTAACGTAGTGAAGACTCTTATATAGATTGTGATTTTTTTTCCACTTTTTTTGTTTTGCTATCAGGATTTTCATTTTTTTGCGGTTAGACTTTTTGTGTAATTTTCAGCTCAGTTCATTTCCATTCTTACGAGGAATGCAAACTCAACTTTTCAGCAGCAAAAGTTTCAAAGTCACGAAAACGTGATGGACTGGACGTCCAGCTTCAAAACTGGTTTTTAATTTTCATATTTCCCAGGGAAATAAAAACTTGACCGATTTTTCCAGTTTTTTTTCATATTGAGTGAATCTTATCAAATTAGGAGTCAATCATCAAGTGTTCTTGGAATTCAAATAGTTTTAAGGCCAAATATTTCACATCGAACATCGAAGTTTTAACTGAAATAAGTCAGTGTTTTTTTCTGGTTCCTTGCGTTCATTTCTTTTTTCAAACTGTCTGGTGGCTATTTTCTTTTTCAAACTGAAAGTTTTCGGCTTCAAAAAATTAGTCTATTTTGTTTGTTGTATTGCTCATTTGGTGAAAATTTTGAGAATCGTTAATTTAATTGCATCTGCTGTCAGATTTTTTATTGACTTGAATTTAAAATGAGACTCTTAAGCTACAGTCGACGGTTCGATTCCAGTGCGTAGCAAAAGTTTCTTTTTAATGTTATTTCATCTTTGTAGAGCTACGTTTAACTGCTTTCTCGCTTTTGTTTGCGAAGTGCACCTTTGCCTCTGTGTGAAATTATTCCGAAGGTTATCGAGATTTTGAGGTTTCGATTGTAGGACTCGGGCCTTCTAAGTTTAGCGCCTTCTTTCCCTTTGACAAACCTCTGTCTCAAAATTAGATCTAAAAATATTTCGTATATTTTTTCGTGTTATTAATTATTGTTCCGGCCACTCTCGAAGAATGGAAAGGAACTATGGATTAGGGTACGTTTTTCATTTTTTCCATACAATTATGACTACCTCTAGGAAAAATAATAGGTGCTCAAGTGTGGTATCGTTTTAAAGCCCTATTGGGCGTGATTGGGATTCAAAAAAAAACTTTGAAAAATTCGTCTCTGTGTTAAGAAAAACTGTTTGAATAGCTGACTTCCCAACTTTAATTTTACTTGATTTATAGCGCTATGTTTTAACGTTTGTCAACTATAGTTTGCACTCCTTCTGCTGTTTTCACCTCATTCAATCGCATTTTCTAGAAGAAAAAAAACACGCAATTTATACAATAAAAATTGCAGAAATAATTTTTTTTAATTGTTTTTTTTTTCGAATTTCTTTTTATAATTCAATTTGTACGTTATGTGTTGTGCTCCGTGTACTGCAACCGACTATCCTTGTTAAAATTTTGCGTAGGCTGGTATGGAGTATGTAGTAGAGAAGGACCTGAAGGCGAAACTCAGTTGCTCATTCATGCAGAAGTTCGTGGACGAGGCGTGTCTGCCCATCTATTACGACAGAGCAATCTATTCATATCCTTCTAAAGAGTGACAAATGCTTAATGGTGCTCGTCCTTTGCTTAATTAATTTTTAATCAAATTTGTAAATATGTACAAAACCTAAACAAGTCTCTTATTTAGTTTGGATTTAGTCTGTCTGGATTTAGTTTATAATTTACTGATTCAGCTTTGGTTGTTTTTGTGACGAGCGACCGAATCATTGGTTTAAGAAGCTTAATGAACTTGATTAGATTAGCCGCAGCAATCATCTTCATAACAGGTCGTTTAAATATATCAATTAGCGAACAGGGATTAGTTGAAGTTGCAAATTTATTTTGCAGATCTGGGTAGTCGTTTCTCCTAGTTCTTAATTTAGCTGAACATTTGAAGTAACAATAGTTTTCAATCAACTGATTTAGGTCTGGAATTATTTTTATTAGGAAAAAGCTATAATTTATGTTATGGTGGTTTAATTTTGATATTGTTTTTGGTTCTCTTCAAATTTGTCTACAAAAGGGAGAGTTAAGCTTGACTTAGCTTCAAAAATTGATTTTCGTGTGATAAAAATCTGTCGTGGAAAAAAAATTACTTGTTGATCTAGTTTTTTCAAGTTATTTCTATTTTTAAAATAAAAAAGATGCCAATATTCAAGATTTTCGTATTTTTTTTGTTAACAAGTTTTATTCAAAAAAAATAAATAAAATTGAAAAATTGGAAAATTTTCAATGAATGTGGATTAAGGTTCTCACTTGAAGATTCACAAATTTTTTTTTGCAAAATGAGAACCGTTTTTTTGCTTAGCCGATATTTTAGCCTTGCGATAAGCAAGGGTATTGCAATCGGGTACTAGACTTTCTTACCGTAATTAACTTTGTTCACATCATGGTCAATACATAGACAGCAAATTGATGTTTTGAGTATTTTTGGCTAGAGATTAAAAAGATTGGTAAACATGATTTAGTTTGAAAATTATTCTGATTGTGCTAGTTTTTTCCGATTAAAATTGTGTTAGCTTATTTGAGAGGCTGTGCGTTTTTAATACTTTGATGTCAGCTTGAGCATCATCTTGAATTTTTAATGATTTTAAAAAAAAACTCCTGCTCTTTTTTTTAAAAAAAATTGTGTTGTTTTTTTTTGCCATGTAACAATTTTTTTTCTCGATCTGTATATCATGGTCATCCGACGTCAGTTTGTGGTAACTTCTCAGTCATTTTGAACTTGTATTCATTGTTCAATTTTAATGTTGATGTTTTAAACGATTTAGCATTTTTTATTCAATAGCAAGACCTTGTGTTACCTCGTGATATATTTTTAGGTCTTCTTAGACCTACTGACTTGCGTCACTGTAAGAATTTTTCAGGAAATGACATTCTTCTTACAATCCTGGTATTCGATAGGTTGTTCCATCACTTTTGCAGATAAAAATATAGTCCACTCTTTGGTCCTGTTGGATGCTGATGAGATTAGTTCTTGGCTTGCTAAGATCTTCAAAAACTCTTATAGATGTTTCAAATTGTCTCGTTCAGCTATTTGTTTTTCTCAGAATTTCAAGTTTCGTTTTCGTCAGAATTTCAAGTTTTGCTAGACGCCTTGAACAGCAAACATTAATTGGTTAACCTCTTGGCGAACTTGGTGGTAGGCGGTGAACAATAGAAATGTCTTGTTTGCTGATATTGGTGGACAGCGCATTCGCAATAGACATAACTTTCTCAATGATAGTTTCAATTTAAAAAAAAATTATTGTTGCTTGAAGTTGTCTCAGTCATTCTAATGGTGTTAAGGCTCTATCTTTATTTGTTTTTGTGACGAGCGACCGAATCATTGGTTTAAGAAGCTTAATGAACTTGATTAGATTAGCCGCAGCAATCATCTTCATAACTAGTCGTTTAAATATATCAATTAGCGAAAAGAGATTAGTTGAAGTTGTAAATTTATTTTGCAAGTCTAGGTAGTCGTTTCTCCTAGTTCTCAATTTAGCTGAACATTTGAAGTAACAAAAGTTTTCAATCAACTGATTTAGGTCTGGAATTATTTTTATTCGGAAAAAGCTATAATTTATGTTATGGTGGTTTAATTTTGATATTGTTTTTGGTTCTTTTCAAATTTGTCTACAAAAGGGAGAGTTAAGCTTGACTTAGCTTCAAAAATTGATTTTCGTGTGATAAAAATCTGTCGTGGAAAAAAAATTACTTGTTGATCTAGTTTTTTCAAGTTATTTCTATTTTTAAAATAAAAAAGATGCCAATTTTAAAGGTTCTCGTATTTTTTTATTATTAAGTTTTATTCAATAAAAATAAATAAACTTGAAAAATAAGAAAATTTTGCAATGAATGTGGATTAAGGTTCTCACTTGAAGATTCACAATAAGAAAGTTTTTTTTTGCAAAAATGAGAATCTATTTTTTTGCTAGCCGATATTTTAGCCTTTCGATAAGCAAGGGTATTCCAATTGGGTACTAGGCTTTCTTCCCGTAATTAACTTTGTTCTTATCATGGTCAATACATAGACAGCAAATTGATTTTGTGATTATTTTTTGGCCAGAGATTAAAAATATTGGTAACCATGATTTAGTTTGAAAATTATTCTGATTGTGCTAGTTTTTTCCGATTAAAATTTTAGTAGCTTATTTGAGAGTCTGTGCGTTTTTAATAGTTTGATGTCAGCTTGAGCATCATCTTGAAATTTTAATGATTTTAAAAAAATTCCTGCTCTTTTTTTTTAAAGTTATGTTCTGTTTTTTTTTTACCAGAATGTAACAATTTTTTTTTTCAATGTGTTAATGATCATCCGACGTTAGTTTGTGGTAACTTCTCAGTCGTTTTGATTTTGTGTATTTTGTTTAATGTTAATGTTTTATACGATTTAGCATTTTTATTCAATAGCAAGACCTTGTGTTACCTCGTTATATAATTTTTAGGTCTTTTTTAGACCTACTGGATTAGTTCTTGGCTTGCTAAGATCTTCAAAAACTCTTTTAGATGTTTCAAAATGTCTCGTTCAGCTATTTGTTTTTCTCAGAGTTTCAAGTTTCGTTTTCGTCACAATTTCAAGTTTTGCTAGACGCCTTGAAAAGCGAACATTAATTGGTTAACCTCTTGGCGAACTTGGTGGTAGGCGGCGAACAATCGAAATGTCTTGTTTGCTGATATTGGTGGACAGCGCAATCGCAATAGACATAACTTTCTGAAAGATAGTTTCAATTTTTTTTAAAAAATTTATGGTTGCTTGAAGTTGTCTCAGTCATTCTAATGGTGTTAAGGCTCTATCTTTATTTGTTTTTGTGACGAGCGACCGAATCATTGGTTTAAGAAGCTTAATGAACTTGATTAGATTAGCCGCAGCAATCATCTTCATAACTAGTCGTTTAAATATATCAATTAGCGAAAAGAGATTAGTTGAACTGTAAATTTATTTTGCAGGTCTAGGTAGTCGTTTCTCCTAGTTCTTAATTTAGCTGAACATTCGAAGTAACAATAGTTTTCAATCAACTGATTTAGGTCTGGAAATATTTTTATTAGGAAAAGCTATAATTTATGTTATGGTGGTTTAATTTTGATATTGTTTTTGGTTCTTTTCAATTTTGTCTACAAAAGGGAGAGTTAAGCTTGACTTAGCTTCAAAAATTGATTTTCGTGTGATAAAAATCTGTCGTGGAAAAAAAATTACTTGTTGATCTAGTTTTTTCAAGATATTTTCAAGGTATTTTTTTCAAGGTATTTTTAAAATAAGAAAGATGCCAATATCAAAGGTTCTCGTATTTTTTTATTAACAAGTTTTATTCAATAAAAATAAATAAACTTGAAAAATTGGAAAATTTTGCAATGAATGTGAATAAAGGTTCTCACTTGAAGATTCACAAAAAAATAAGTTTTTTTTTTGCAAAAATGAGAATCTATTTTTTTGCTTAGCCAATATTTTAGCCTTTCGATAAGCAAAGGTATTGCAATTGGGTACTAGACGTTCTTCCCGTAATTAACTTTGTTCACATCATGGTCAATACATAGGCAGCAAATTGATGTTTTGAGTATTTTTTGGCCAGAGATAAAAAAGATTGGTAAACATAATATAGTTTGTAAATTATTCTGATTGTGCTAGTCTTTTCCGATTAAAATTTTAGTAGCTTATTTGAAAGGCTGTGCGTTTTTAATAGTTTGATGTCAGCTTGAGCATCATCTTGAAATTTTAATGATTTAAAAAAAATTCCTGCTCTTTTTTTTAAAGTTGTGTTCTGTTTTTTTTTACCAGAATGTAACCATTTTTTTTCTCAATGTGTATATGATCATCCGACGTTAGTTTGTGGTAACTTCTCAGTCGTTTTGATTTTGTATATATTGTTCAATAAAATGTTTTATACGATTTAGCATTTTTTATTCAATAGCAAGACCTTGTGTTACCTCGTTATATATTTTTTAGGTCTTTTTAGACCTACTGGCTTACGTCACTGTAAGAAATTTTCAGGAAATGATCTTCTTCATACAATCCGGGTATTCGATAGGTTGTTCCATCGCTTTTGCAGATAAAAAATATAGTCCACTCTTTGGTCCTGTTGGATGCTGATAAGATTAGTTCTTGGCTTGCTGAGATCTTCAAAAACTCTGAGATGTTTCAAATTGTCTCGTTCAGCTATTTGTTTTCCTCAGAATTTCAAGTTTCGTTTTCGTCAGAATTTCAAGTTTTGCTAGACGCCTTGATAAGCGAACAGTAATTGGTTAACCTCTTGGCGAATTTGGTGGTAGACGGCGAACAATCGAAATGTCTTGTTTGCTGATATTGACGGACAGCGCATTCGCAATAGACATAACTTTCTCAATGATAGTTTCCATTTTTTAAAAAAAAACTTATGGTTGCTTGAAGTTGTCTTAGTCATTCTAATGGTGTTAAGGCTCTATCTTTGATTGTAAGACTCTAAAAGCTCCGCTTCCAATTGGGACTTCAGATGAGCCTTGGATTGGAACATTAAATCGCTCTTAACAGTTTTTGCGAAGCCTTTGAACTCACTAGTGCTTCTTCGATTAACTTTTTTAGATCTTTTAGTTTAACTAGATTAGATTAACTTTTAACTAGATCTTTCAGTTGCGTATTAAGCTGATCGATTATTCCAGAGATATCATAGCTCACTGCAGGGATTTACCAATAGTTTCCTTGATTTTGGTAGACATTGTATTTTTAGTCTTACGTGAAAACCGAGTTAGCCCTGTGCGTGAAAACTATGTGACCTTGTTTGGCGGAATTGTGGTTTTCAAGTTTTCATCACTCATCGTCAGTCTCTGAAACGTTTTAATAAGTTTATCACAACAATTAGGTCTTAAAATTCACCCCCTCTTCCAAATTTAAATATCAGTTTTGAAAAACTATTTTTTACGCGGTTTACGCAATTTTATGGTCTAACGAGTGGTTTTACAAGGTTGATTATGAAGACCAAATATGTTTGTCATGACCTAATTAGTCGGCATGTCAATTTTCATGACAATCGGACAATGTGAACAAAAGTTTTACTTGTAAGTTTTTGCTGGGGGGGGGGGGGGGAGCCAGTTTGAATTGTGGATTGGAAAGTTGAAAAGAGCCAAAAATGTTAATATGGCCAATTTACATGGCATGTTTACTAGAAAAATTAATAAAAATTGGTCTTTTTCTCAGATAAATGATTTTTTTAATTTGTGACATCAACCTGTTTTAGTTGTAGTGTCACAAGTGAAAGGCCCATCGTGAAAAATCTATATCGGTCCCAGGCATATACGATATCATAAAGAATAATTGTGGTGGATGTTGGTGGGCATTGTCAATAATTGTCAATTGGTGGGATCAAGTCAATGTGGGATCAAGTGTTGGTGGGATCAAGTCAATAATTGAGTGGTTGAACAGCACGTGTTTAATTATTGGAACTAATTGAAACTCTTCTCGCTGTAACTATTGTACACATCTTCTGGTAAATATGTCGAGTAAAAATTGATTGTTTTAGACGTTCATGAATGTTTTGTGTCAGAATTAGTGTGGAATAGTTAGCCCTTTGCATTGAAACTGAGTCTCATTGTTTGGCGGAATGCGACGCCTGTACCTCTATTGTGATTGTAACCATGTCTTACCACAAAAATTACGAGTCAAGAAATCGTGGCAGCAATGGGTATGCCACTTCAAATAGTACGTACGGCAATCACACGGGTGTGAGGCAGGGTACTATTTCGAAGCCGCCCTTTGAACGTGTTCAACAGACCGAAACCAAACAGAGGCCTCCAATCCCTTACAGTAGTAACTCAATAACAAGCCATTTGAACAAGCAGAGGAATCGAGAACGAGAGGCCGATTTGAGTCAACAAAATTTTAACCATGCTTATTCTCGATCAGTTCAAGTTCACACCGAAGACTATGTGAGACGGGGAGAACTAGCAAAACAAGAACTAATTGCGAGACGGGACGAGTCCTCTAAACGGGAAGAGTCATTAAAACGGCAAGCATTGGAGAAACAGCAAGCGGCATTGAATATATACCCTAGCAACGAATACGATCCATCGAACTACCGTGGCCAAAACCTCGCTGAGCCTTTTGACAGTCGTGAGCGAAATTTTGGTGCCGCAGAGTTTTTCAACGATAGTAGAAATCAAATGACCAACGACGGGGGTCATTTTTATGAAGGCGGAGCTGCGAGAAAAACTGCTAATTTCGCAAACTTCTCGACCACGGGTACCGCTAATGTTGCAACGCCTAATTCTGGGTTGTATGTTAGAGATGGAGTCACAATAGAAGAGGAAAAGAGTAGAAGTCCGCACGAGGATAGGAGGCATAAGTCCAGATCGAGATCTAGAAATAGATCGAGATCTCCCACACCCTCGAGTCCTCAGAGTGGAGAAAAACCGCCTTCCTATGTAAGCTTCAAACATTTAAAAGATCATGTGGCTCTTCCCCCCCCCCACCAACATTTTAATTTCAGTTTTAATAGCACCTTGTGCGTTGTCATAATGTGACGAAGTTTTGCATGGTGAACAAACTAACTATTGTGAACAAATTTGTTCTTTATTCCTTACATTGTAACATCTGACTGCTCTTTTTCCTCCCCCCCCCATCTGCAAATTTTTATATTTGAAGTTACTGTTCACTTTGTCCGATTGTCATGAAAATTGACATGCAGACTAATTAGGTTATGACAAACATATTGGGTCTTCATAATTAACCTTGTAAAACCACTCGTTAGACCATAAAGTTCATGGCTCTTTTTCCTTTTCCCCCCACCTCACACGAGCTTCAATATATTAGTGTAACGAGTGGTTTTACGAGGTTGAGTATGAAGACCAAATATGTTTGTTGTGGCCTTATTAGTCTGTATGTAAATTTGCATAACAATTGGACAATGTGGTCAACAAATTTACATGTAAAAATTTGCAGGTGGGGGAAAAGGAAAAAGAGCCAAGTTCATGTTTAAGTGAGGTGGGGGGGGGGGGGAAGGAGGTATGGGAGGGGGAAACTTTCCCTCAGCTTTCAAATTTTTTATAGTCGTTGTCAGTGTAATTATGGCTAAACGCGTAAGGATGTTCTTGGAAACTACCCTTCCAAATCTGAGATTTTGGTTTCAATCGAAATTACAGGTTGCGTGAATTCCTTCTGCACAACGTTTCTGCATACTATTTTGTACACAAAAAGCTATGATTCTTGGAATCCTCAAATTTTTGATTTATTGACCGTTTTTTGGACTTATATCGCTAACTATCCTGCCAAACTTGATATCATAGGTTTAATCAAAGCAGCAGGTTGTTGAAAGCCTACCTGTATAACTGGCTATGCCCAATTTGTTTAATAAAAAAGTTATGGCCTTCAAAAAAGTCTAAGTTCGAAACTTCGACAGTTTTTTGGAAACTTTTTGACTTTACCCGAAAAGTATCGTGCCGATTCTCAGGTTTTGTAAGAGAAATTTAACTCCTTGGGAAAATTGTTTATCTCAAAATTAATTTTTCTCTTCTCACTTATTTTAGTAGAAAAACAACTAAGGTTTTAGGCAAAGTCCAATTTTTGAAAACACACTTTTCGTGCCGCATCAGTGTAGCAAATTCATTCAATATCAAACATGTACCTCCAGCTTTAGCTGGGTCTGTAGTTGTTTTTATCGAGACATACGAAAATTTTGGTTCACCTTGTTTTTTTTCGACATCTAAAATGTGTTACATCGCAAGTGGTTACATCTAAAATTGTGTTACATCGCAAGTGGTGCGAAGCTCCGCTTCGCTTTTGAGTAAAAAATTGAAATTCAAAGGAGAGGGGAAGTGGAAAAGAGCCGAAGATTAACTAGGTGTAGGGAAAAGGGGCTCTTACACATCATACGGCAGAAGTAAGCTCTTACACATCTTGTATGTCAGAAGTATATGAAAATTGGTTCACTTGTTCATGCCAACATGTTTTATTGCGTTTTTATGCTCGCTGTTTTACGCATTTTTCTTTTTAATTGTTTGTTAAGCAATTTCACGGAATCGTTTGTGCCAACAGATAGTGAGCATAACTGCGCTTTATACTCCCGATCTAATTGAAAAGACGGAAAAGACCCGTTAACAATTTTTCATGTGCGGGTATGTCGACTCTTGAACCCCCCACCCCACACCAGATGAAAAAAATTAGTGTAAATATTGATTTACCAAGGTAGTTAGTATACTACCGGTATGCTAAACGTGAAAACTTGAGTTTCGATTTTATATAGCTCAAAGTTTATCATGAAAAAGTTTTTGCTTTTGGATCAACGGGGAAAAGTTTTGTCGGCTTAGTTAATGTTTCAAAATTTTGTTTTAACAATTTACTGCTAACAATTGTTTTGTTGGCATATTTTTCCTCAAAATTAAAATAATTTGAGACAAACGTTTCAAAATTTTGGATTTTTTTAAATTTTGAGCTCAAGACATTGAGAGCTTTCAGAAGATGAAAAAATCTACACCGAGCACAAAAATTCCGTCACTGTCTTTGAAAGTCGGGAAAAAAAACTTGATATTTTTACGGTAAATTTGAAAATGAGCAAGATGAAGTTTTCAGCAAAGTATTTGTTTTTATAAGTTGACGTTTCTAACTCTTTGTTACTGTTTTTCTTTGGGTTTTACCACGGGCTTGTGTGCATGTTCTACAGTTCGGAATTATCTAGCTTTTGATCTTTTTGAAGTGAGCATGCGTTTCTTTCATCACAGAATCGTTTCAGTCATTAGGCATATTATGAGTCTGTTAGACTGATGTCCGTTAAAGTTTCAATTAATTTAAATGCAAAATTATGAGTCAATTTGAATAAAAGATTTAAATTTAAATCAAGCCATTTAAAAAACTAAATTGCTCGAGCCGAATTGGATCCGACGACAGATTACACAGTTTATTTATGTCAATTATTTCCCATTTTTAGAATTCAGCGGAAACAGCAAAGAATCTGAGTCTTCACAACGAAATTAATAAATTTTTGTAGCAAATAGATATGACCGAAAAACTGCTTTCGATTTTTTTCTCGAACGTGCATAAATTATCCACAAATGGCGAAAAAACGGCAGAAAACATGAAATTGGTGAAGAAATTTTAAATTGTTTTGGTAAACTTTCTATTGAAATCAAAAATTTTCATAATATTTTTGAAGTATTTCAATTTAAGTTTTAATTTTCATCTTTTTAAATGGACATCACTGGTGTTTTAAACATCCTTTATATTCGTTATTTGATTGTTTTTATTGATGTTCTGTTTTTTTTTTTCGCTGGAAGGCTCGTAAGCTTCAAAGGCTTTGTTTATTGTAATATCGGCCTATTTGCCTCTCATTTTGTCTTTTGAAAGGTGAAAAATTATAGTTTTGATACGCCATGAGTGTTTCAATTGTTGCACAGTAAAAAAAACACTGTTTTTTTTTAAACTGGCGTCAGCATATTTTCAATTTAATTACCGGTTCTTAATTCTCATTTTAATACTATTTACACTTGCGACACGTATCTTAGACATTCTTTGCTCTATTCACTACTTCACGTCTCCTAACATCTTCCAGTAGGCACCGTTGCCTTTGCACCATTAAGTCTGGGGTATGATTCTCGGCCGGACCATGTTTTTTTGCATTATGTATGCAATTGAAAAAAATTCGGTTGAAATTGAGTTATCGGACTTTCGTTTGTCTGCTCAAAGTTTGTCTGCTTAATCGCCACATCACGGATTTTGCTTGTACTGTAGGCAACTTTCATTGCAATTGTATTCTAGTTTCAGGGGCTTAAGTTTTTTTCAAAAATTGTCTGCTTAGTTATCACATCACTGATTTTTCTTGTGCTGTAAGCTACTTTCATTATTGATTCAATTGTTGTTTGTAGTTTCTGATGGATTTTTAACCGTTAAATACATTTTTTTTACAAAATTGTTTTTTATCTGCACAAGGATTGACGGCTTTGTTTCTTCTTCGTTTTTTTTTTTGTTCCGATGCTAATTTAATATTTAATTGTCTGCCATGTTGCTGAAAATGAACTTCTATCAAGACATACTAACATGTGATTTTTGGTAGACCTACTTTTTTTCGGCTTCCTATGTTTTTTATCTTTATGTTGTATCGCAAGTGACGCGAAGCTCTACATCGCCTCTGTGGTTCACGCTGACGACTGTCTTATGTAGCATGATTTCTTCAAACTGGTTTACTTCAAGCAAATCGAGGCAAATATATGAAATTTTTTGTCGATCTCGTAAGCTTCAAAGGCTTCGTTTCGTGTATTGTTTTTTCAAATAATTTTTGATTAACCTGATGACATTCGCAGTGTGTTCCCATTGCAGACCACTGTAATTCAACAGCGCTCATAAAGTCTCATTATCTGTTAGATAGCTTGCCATGCAATTTTTAACTGTCAATGAACGTTGTGAAAGGCAATTATTTGAGATGTGTTGAATTTTTTCCGTATTTTTTACAGGAGCAAGTCCTAATAATTTCTGACGCTAAATTTTGGTATTTGAAGGCAAATTACACTTTAATTACGGAAGTGCTAATGGCGCGAAAAACACTCTAATGTCGAAGGTGGATTTTCAGTTTTTTTACCCTTGCAATAAGCTAGGGCATTGCAATCAGGTACAAGACTTTTTCCCGTAAACAATCCTGTTCACAGGACGCAACTGAACCCATCTCTACTTTGCTTCATATTCTATTCAAATTTCTTAGCGTTCCCGGTCAACTTAGCCTGGAGGTGACGAATATGCCTGTCTGTTTCAAAAATATTATGTTTCAAATATTCTGTGGGCCATATTATTTGTCTGCTTATCTGATTTCGGTTTAGTTGTCAAATCTTGGAATCCTTTTTTTTGCTGCGCAATTTTTTTTTCTAATGTTCCTTCCCGTGTTTGACTTACTGTTACAATTTGTATTTTTATCTACCTTGACTTGGTATTTCCGTTGATTTTTTGTTTGCTAAAACAATTCCTCGGCCCAAATTATTTCGGCCTATTTTTTTATCGGCCTAATGACCAAATTTTAGGTCGTTTCAACGCAAACACAATTTTACACTCCACTCTGCACTTTTCAATTTAGTTGTATGTGTTTACCAATCGGTTTGTTGAAATTTCTTTTTTTGTTTTGGAATTTTTTTTTCTCATTTTTTGATAAATTGTAGTTCTTTTCGGAAACTTCTACTCACTTTCCTAAAATGGGTATCAGTTGGAAGAACACTTACTCCCCTCTGTTCGTGCATTCTCCCCTGGAGTCTTTTTTACTACCCTTTTTAAATTTAACTACCCTCTCGAGTCGAAATTAAAGATTCAATCGAAATTAAAGGTTGCGTGAATCTCTGCTGCCAACAAAAAGCTATGATTCGAAAACTACCGGGCCAGTTCTCAGGTTGCGATTCATTTCTGCTTAAGGGGCCTTAACTTGCTTTTTGGCGGTAACAAGCTATGGATTTTGGAAAGTCTTTTGAGCGTTTTTTACAAAAAAAATTGACCGTTCTGGAGAATGTTATTGAAGGTAAAAAGTTGTATTGAATGAAGCGGTTGCGATAATTGTTCCTGTAGAAGCGTCTACTCCTTAATTTTTTGTAATCTTATGTTATCTCGACGGGAAAACTGATTATCTTGAAATTTTTCAGTATTCAATTATTTTAGCAGAGAAACATTTAAGGGTTTGGGCGAAGGTCAGTTTCTGAAATCACACTTTTCGTGCCGCATACCTCCAGTTTTAGCTGGGCAACTAGTTGTCTTTTATCGAGACATGCGAATTTTTTTTTAGTTCACCGGTTTTTTCAACATTAATTTTTTTTGTTTGTGTTGTATCGTAACTGGTGCGAAGCTCCGCTTTTCCTCTGTGTGAGATTTTCCTTACCTTATATAGGTCTTTACCTTATATAGGTCTTGCTGATTTTTTTCTCAGGAAAAAGTCTTAAAATATTGATGCACTTAGGAATATATGCACTTCTTGAGTTCAATTGAAATTCATCTGCTGAAAGTGACGTAAAAACGAACGTGCAAAGGGCGCGAAAGTTCATGAACGATTTCTTGTTTCGAAAGTCGAATTTAATTTTAAAATTTTTCGCGGAATAAAAACTGTACCTGTTGATCCAGTTTTCTCAATTTGGGTTAATCAAAAAAGCGCCACTCATAAATCGTTCTAAAAGTTCAAAGAGCTTAAAGGGCATCTATTTTTTTCTTTAAAATTCGAAAGTTGAGGTGTTTTTTTTTGTTTACTTGCGTTCATTACTCTTTTCCAATCTTCAGTTGGCTATGTTTTGAGATATTCATTTTTGGCTGTCGGTCGCTAAATTTTTCTAAAGACCGGCTATATTTGAAATTCGAGGGAAAAGCGCTCGCCGTTAAAAAGCAATTTTTTGGTGAAACTTTTCCAAAAATTGCTTTTATTGATCCTAGATACACCCCTGCCAGTCTTAAAATTGTAGGATACAACATTCTTTCGAGATCCTCGAGGGTGTCATTTTTTCTTTAATTTTTTGATAAGTATTATGTTTACCATTGATTTAACTAATAATGTTTCAGGAGGAGTCTGTTACCAGAGGTACAGTGGGGTTGGAGAACATGGGAAATACTGTAAGTGTTCTTGTTTGTATTGAATAAATAATTAAAGCAAATTTATTGTAATCGGGTACTATACTTTTTTGTTATTTAAAAAGAACTTTTCTAGCATAATTCGCATGTCACATGTTTTTGCTTCATAAAGAGTTCAAATCCGATGACGGCTTTTTTTCTATTTAGCCTAGAAGTAACGCACATGTTTGGGACGATTGAAAGAAATATACTTCTATTCGTTTGTGGTTTCGCCTTGTATACTTTCATTGGTTTTCGTCTTCTTTTCATTCACTGCTACGCAGTTTTTGTGTTGTATTGCCAGTGGTGCGAAGACCCACTTCTCCTCTGTGATACTTAATTGGTCGAGCCTGCGTACGCTGTTTGAATCCGAATGGTGCTAATTGCAAATTATTTTGTTGGCGTAAAAAAAAACGCGAAAGGCTTTAGAGCAGTTGTTATCCCTCGAACATTGTTGCTTGTTTGTAGTGCTACTTCAGTTCTGCAGTGCAATGTATAAGCAACACCCCCCAGCTCAGAGACGTTATAATTGGGGCCCAGTACCAGATCCAGAACAGGTGTGAAACCAAAGGAGCCATAGTAGCAGGTAAGACCCCATTCTGTTTTTACACTTGAGGAATATATTTGCGTATCTTAATTGAAAATTGAAAATAAATGCCTAATAAACTAACTTATCGGTCAAATTTGGTTGTTATCGAACATTGGGTGATTCGCTTTATCGAAAATTGAGGAAGAATATGCGTACCCTCTGAAGCTGAGCGCTTCTCTACGTAAATCATTAACATACCTGACATATGGAGTTAAACATGATGCACCGTGCTTACTACTGCCTCTCTTTAACGAAGGATATCTTTAACGAAGTGTTGGTTAGTATTTTCTTAAAGTTTTTTTTGTAATTGAGTTATCTTCTTAGGGTTGAGAAATGTACTAAAAGAAATTTGGTGCTCGCCACGACACATGAGCGCAATAAGGCCGAGAGAACTGTTCAAAGATATCCAAAAGAGCAATGAGCAGTTCGAGGGCAAGCGACAGCAAGACTCGCAAGAACTGCTTCTATTCATGTTGAATGCCCTAAGCGAAGAGACGAACAGGGTGAAGACGAACGCAGAGCGGGAAGCGGGTGCAGGCAGAGGAGCCGCAGAGAGGAAGGACTCGAGAGCTCTCATCAGACCCAAATCAGTGTGAGAAAAACTTACATCATGCATCGCTATGATGGAGATTTTATTTGGCGCTCTCAGCTTGTCTTTTTGTTTATACAGTCCAAATTTTGAACTTTCGAAAGCTGACGAAGACAGAGAAATATTCGAACGTGATTAGTTGGAATCAAATGAATTGCTAAATTATTGTTTGTTTTGCTTTTGATTGGATATGTGGCACTGTTTAAGACGTAGTGAAGACTCTATATTGGTCTTGGTGATTCTTTGCTTTTTTTCTGGAAAAATTCCTAAAACGCTCTAATAACTAAAGATGTGCATTCATACATCTCAATGCATTTATGAATGCACTTATGTATAAATGCAATTTTTGAGTGCAATTCAATTTCCTCTGCTTAAAGTAAAAAAAGTGCTCTCCAAATACGCTGTGGTACTTGTACAGCAACCGGCCTTACTTTTCTTTTCTAGAGCTTCTCTGGTGCAGCAGACCGCTGAGGCTTCGTGGCAGAAGTTTCTTAAGCAAGAGAGCAGCTTCGTGACCGATGTGATTGCGGGACAGCTAGAGAGTTCACTTGAGTGCAAAGTGTGCGGACATCAATCGAGGACATACGAATCATTTTTTCAACTATCTCTTCCCCTCCCAGACAATGTGAGTGGAAAAATAGAGTATTATTTTTGTTTCTCTTTTCGTGAAACTAGTTATCGTAAAACTTCAAATGAAATTTGGCACGACTGCTTATACAAACAGACGTTGAATTAAGTCCCCAGGAATTCGAAATTTTTATGCATCCATTTTGGCGGTCTATCCATTAAATACTTTTTTTGCAAATATACACAAATTTTGAGGGGGGACGAACAAACGGTAATTTTTGATCTGAACTGCTGTTCCTTCAAAAAATTAGCTGTGCAGAAAATCTTTGAAAATTATGGTCAAATTAATTTTTTGACAAATCGAAATGGTTGAGGATAAAAGATAGCCTAAATTATTCACGCTTGGTCACACGCCACATGTAACTCTCACTCAGTAGTCTACTGTGGGATCTGAGGAAAATTTGAGACGACTTGTTAAGCTATTTTAGCCTTAATTATAATCTTATTTTGCCACAGGCTATTGTCTGGCTTGAAAAAGGAACTTTTTTCAGAATTATGGCGTAGATCTAGACGAGTGCTTCAAATTAATGTGTGAAGACGAAATCTTAGACGGGGACAACTCTGTAGTAAGTAACACTCTACCCTTCAATTATAATTTTCTTAATGGTTCTGTACGAAGCTATTTTGGCCGATTGATTGTTTGTGATATTTAAAAGTTGGGATTTTTAAATTGATATTTCGAAGTTAATGAACGAGCTTTTTTTTTAGTTTTTCAGAAAATTTTTCATGCTCAAATTTGATGTATCGCGGGTTGACTATTATGATTTGCTTTCAATTTCAATTCATTTTCATCTGCTAAATGTTTTTCAAATTCAAAGAACTTAATCGTGATGCATCTTTGCTCGGAATTCAAAAGTAGACAAATTCTATCAAAAAAGTTGCTTTTTTCGCTTTTCCAGTTAATCGACACTTTTCCTACAGTCTGTTAGATGTTTTTACACTTGCGAAGCAAAGTGTGATAGTACGAACTTTCTTTTTTTCCCAAGCTAAGTCGCAAATGAAGGTGCTACTTTTGGTGGCTCTTTTGAATCGGTAGGCTTTTTACTAAACAATTTTACTTTTGAATCGGTGTTAACTTTTTACTAAACAATATGTGCTTTGACATTTGTTTAGTAAAAAGTTAACACAGTTGATGCATTTTTAATTCAAATGAACCGGAAAAAGTTATTTGTTTCAAAAAGCTGTAATATGATAAAAAGCTTGATTTCAGAAATTTTCCAACTCAATATATCTCGAATTTTTTTGAAATGCAAAATTTATACATAATTTGGTTTTATGCTTTTCAGTTTATTACATGCACAGTTGTGTCTTTTTGTCTTTGATGCTACTGTTGCTGCATCGAATTGGCAATTCATTAGCATAAGTAGCTGCGTTATTGGTGGCTAGTTTTTGGGGATTTAAGCATCCGTGGCTGAGTGGTTAGTGCGTGAGACTCAAATTTCACAGGTCGCAGATTCATATCCGACACGTATCCGTGTTTTTGCATATTCGAGGACTCTTACTATTTTTTTATTTCACTTGATAGAGCTGCTTTTATGGCCGTGTTTTTGCAAGTGTTTGTGAAGCCCAGCTTCGGCAACGTGTCAGATTGTGTCCTCGTGCTTCTTGTTCCTTTCAGCATGCACTTTCCGAGATCAATTTTTACAGAACGCTGGCCGTTTTGACTTGTATGTAATATTTTTAAGAGTTGATGAACGCAGTGAAGACTCTTATATAGGTTGTGATGATTTTTTTGTTTCACGCGCAAATTTGATTTAGTTCAGTTCCTTTAAGAAAAAAAAGGCAACTCCACCAGCGAACAGGAAAAGCGTAAAGGCCACGAAAAAAGTGACAGACTTTTTGTTTAAAAAGAAGAATTTAATTGTCAAAATTTCCAGCCGAATAAAAATTGTACTTATTGAACCAGTTTTGTCCATTTGGTTAATTTTATCAAAGAAATATCAATCATAAATTGCTCTTGAAATTCGAGAGCTTTGAGGCCATGTATTTCTATCTTTGAAAACTGAAGTTTTTTCAATAAACAAATATAGATTCTTTCTGCTTTCTTGCGTTTGTTGGATCTTTCCCAACTAGCTGTTGCCTGAGTTTCTAAACTTGAAGTTGGATTGATTCAAGTGAAAATTCATTGGCTATCGTTGTCAGCGTAATTTAAAGTTTCAATTTAAATTTTTGACGATTGAACAAATGTTGATTGTTTGGTTTGGAACTGTTTTTTTGGCAAGTAGTTTGTTAACAGTGCTTTGCCAGAAACCAGGAAATCATTTCGGTCGACATAAAATAAAAGTTGGCCGAAAATTGATGTCATGAAATAACACCTTTAGGTGGTGAGTGTTTTTTTTTGCTAGCAGTTTGTTTGGCTAGCGATATCGTTTGGCTAGCAATAAGTCAGCTCTAATTCAATAGGAACGATTTTTTGGCGAGTAATGTTACTTAAAGCCCATTTCCAAGTAGTATTTAAATGCATTAAGTAATTAGTAGTTTTGAGAAAATTGTAGTTTTTTGATTTGTTTCTGGTTCAGCTAAAGGTCGAACCTTGAACTGAACCTATATTGTTCTATGTTCTGCTTTTAAAATTTTCTCTTTTTGAAGAGTAATAAACATAGTGAGTACTCTTATATAGGTCTTGCTGATTGTTTTAGGAAAAAGTCTTAAAATTTGTTCACCTAAAATTTGTTCACAGTTTTGATTTTTCGCGGTTTGACTTGTGATTTTTTTTAAGTTCAAGTCATTTATATTGTTAAAAGGAAGGCAAAATCCACTATCGAACAGCATAAGTGTAAAGGTCACGAAAAACGTGATCAACTTCTGATTTCAAAAATGGAAATTAAATATCAGATTTCCCAGCGAAATAAAAGTCTCACGTATTGATCCAGTTTTCTCAAGTTGGGTTAATTTTAACAAAAAAGTGTCCAACATAAATTGTTCTACAAATTCAAAGAGTTTCAAGGCCATCTTTTTTTTTCTTCGAAATTCAAAAGTTGATGGCTTTTGAAAAATAAGTCAGTTTTTTTATTTCAGTTTCCTTCGTGTTCATTGCTCTTTTCCAAGTGTTAATTGACTATGTTTATCTGTTTGCAGTGTTTTTTTTTGAAGTATATCAATATGATTTATGTTTTGGCTAGTTGATATCTTTTTTTGTTTATCTTTACGCTCGCGATTAGCCAGCGTTATCAAAACAACAACAAGTTTTCCATTTGAACAACATGTTCAACTGATGACTGAATCACTTCTTTCTTTTTTTTTGAGCAGAAATTTGTTTGGAATAGCTGCTTTTAGTTATTTTCAAATTTTAGTGTTTTAAACCAAATTTTAATTAGTAAAATTTTACAGTTTTTTTAATTTTCACCCCAGTTGTTTTTCTCGGCTTAAAAGGTTTCGGCTTGTAGCTCATAGGCTTAACTACCTGAGTGTGATAACTTCAATTCTCTGAGTGAACTTCACTGAGCGAGTTTCCGAACGTTTACTAACAAAGCTTGTGTGATAGTATTTCTTTTTTTCCAAGCTAAGTCGCAAAATTGTTGCAACAAAGTGTGTTCCTTTCGAAAGTGTTCATTTTGATTAATAACTAGCTATTGATTACGGCGAATGCTAAGGATATTTACACAGACTACTATATTACAAAAAGCACTTAAGCTTCAAGGTATCATGAATCTATAGCGTAGAGGCAGAGAAGTAGACCCGCATCAACGTAAAAGGGTTCGAACCTGGGCAGGGTCGGATGTTTTAAATTGGTAAATTTCTTTTTTTTTAAATTGATTCGTACTGCTAATGCGTCATAATTGGCTTGCGTCACTTAGCAATTGTGTAGACTCATAATTGGCGTGCGTCAATTAATACTTTTTGTTGACTCAAAGTTTTACTCATTCAGTTTTTCCCCAGTAGCGTTATGGGTCATATTTTTGCTTGCGTATGCGAAGTGCAACTTCGCCTCTGTCTGTAACTTAAAATTTATTGCTTTTTCAATTGTCAATTGAAAAAGCAATAAATTTCAATTTATTGTCAATTGTCTTTCTTAAAAAATTTGCCTCAAGTTCCCTTTTTGCAGTTGTGTGAGAGATGCAGGAAGAACAGGCCGTGCAAGAAGAGCCTCAGAATAGAGAGTCTTCCACCGGTGCTCATAATTCAACTGAACCGATTTTCAATCGACTTCCGGAACAAAATCGACATCCCAGTTGAGGCCCCGATGGAGAATATGTGTCTAGTGGAGCATATGACCACGGCGCATAAAGAGTCAAGCATGCATCACAGTAATTCCACTGAGAAATTGGATTTTTAGTGTTGAAACGAGCTAGAAAAAAAAACATTTTTAATTTGTAAGTCAAAATTATCATTTGACTAAAAACTGACTTTGAACAGACTACCAATCAGTATAATGAACGATGAAACGAAGCTTAGCAGTTTCAGCTGAAATATATCTAGATGAAGAGTGACTATTCAAATCAAGTTTGTCTTGAAAGCATCATAGAAAATTGTATGAATCTTCTAAAATGAAGATCTAATCACGACTGAAAGGACTTCAATATAATATATCACTCGAAATATCTGTCGTTTTCCTGGTACCAGATTTAGCGTTGAAAATTTTTACAAACCAAATACAGAATTTTTAGAAAAAATAATGGTGGATCAAAGATTAAGATGTTTTTAAGTGCTAATGAACGAAGTGATTTTTAAAATAGGTTTTGTGAATTGTTTTTATTTATGAAAAAAAACCCTATTTTTATTAATGCTCATTTTAATATTTTGATGGCTGAATTTAAAGCTCTTAACTTGTTAAAAAGAGGGCAAACAATGCTCGAGGAAAGGATTTTTGCTCTGAGCTTTTTTAAATTGCACTTGTGACTTTAAGGAAGCGTGAACCCTCCCTTGTACAGACTATACGCTGTGATCGACCATATGGGATCACCTAAAAGTGGTCACTACATCGCCAAGTGCCTCGTCCCCCCTGCGCCTCCACCCGAAGTGGCAGAGGGGGGCAAACAGAGGAACACACTGGTTCTAGCTTCACAACCAATGACCAACAGCAGCAAGGTGAAAGGGACTGGCACAGTGTCAGAACCGGGTCAAATAAGATATCCGACGCCAAAACAATGGTGGAAGTTCGATGATGACTAGTAAGATTTAACAATTTGTTTAATACTTTTTTTGAAATTTTAAGCGTAGAAATCTTACCAAATATCTTATGTTGTTAAAAAGTAAACTTTGAATATAAAAAAGCCAGAAGGCTTTGAACAGTCATTTAGTCCGAAATTTGTATTGTTAAACGAAAATTTTATGGTATATTTTAGCGTGCTGCCAATAAAAGAGACAGACGTAGTGTGTAATAACAATTACATTCTCTTTTACCAAATTGATACCAACACGTAGCATTGGACATGAAAGATGCACCCCATGTTTCAAAAGCAATCAAGCATTTCTTTCGAAGTGGAGAAACTCAAAAGAGCTCTCAATCGACAGGCTTTGAACTTTTGAATTAGAAAATTGCGATTAGCTTGCAAGACTCATCCAGCTTTCAGCTTTTTGAAAAGCTTCTCATTGTATCAAATAATTGTAAATACCTTCATTTTGTAAGTTATGTTCCATATTGTCTAATAGGTTCTCAGAATATAAATTGAGTAAGTTGCTGGCGGCCATTTTTTTTGGCAGAGACCATTTTTGTTCCGTTGCGACGTTCGAACAGTAACACAATATATAACTTCGTGTAGCTTTTTTCTTCCGAACAATTTCGACTTTGTTTAAGAACATTTGAAGAAATTTTTAATAGTATTTCAAAGTATCGACGACCTGAGATCAAATACAAAGATATTCCACCTGTGATTTTTTTTGAAGCTACGGGGAAACAAAAAACTGGTTTGTAAGTGAAGGGGTTAGCCTTCACCACATGAGGGTTACGCTACACCATCATCAGCACCGACATATAATTCTCACACATGTGAAGAAATTGAATAAATTATTCATAAAGCTTTAAAACAAATTTTAACTCAACGAATGTTTTATTGCAATAAATTGCTAGGCATTTTGAAGTGCCAATAAACTTAAAAGTGTCTAAATTTCATGAGGAATATGAAAATAACCTATGGATCCAGTGCTCTCTAATTGGGATACTTTAGCGAAAACAGTGCCAATCATAAACGTGATATATTTGTTTCTTCAAAATTTGAAAAAAATCAAATTTTTCCAGTCAACATATTTCGGCTTTGTTTTATACGCTTTTCCAACTGTCTGTTGGCTATTTCTAAAGGTCGATGTAAGTAGTGGAGACTCTTATATACATCTTGCTGTTTTTTTTCAGGAAAAAACCTTAAATGCTCTCATAAACTACAGAATTGCATTTAAATATTACTGAATGCACTTAGGTCTATATACCATTCAAATTCATTTGCTAAAATTTGGTAAATTGCGCTCTCCAAGTACGATAGTTGAAATGGCCCGAAAAAACGTGAATGAATTTTAGATTAGAAAGTGGATTTTAAATTCTAGATTTCCCAGCAGAATAAAAAATTAACTTATTGATCCAGTTTTTTTTTAAATTAGGTTAGTTTTATCAACAATTTGGCAAACATAAATTGTTTAAAAAATTTTAAGTGCTTAAAGATCTTAATATGTTATTTTTCAAATTTAACAATTGATTTTTCTTTCAAAAATTAACTAAAAAAAGGGGTCCTAGTGTCAAGAAAAACCGGTTTTGAATTTTGGTCTATTTCGAGAAATTAAAACGAGTCTCGCTTTACTCGCTTCAAGTTAGACAAGAAGTGCTCATTTCGCTTGAGACAAAATCTATTATCAGCTGGTTTTGTAAGCTATCTTTAGTGCTTCCTTTAAAAAAACGTTCTGATCTTTTTGTTGTTACTTGTAGTGCTTAAACGGAGACCATTGATGTCGATTATGTCTAGTCTAACGTTTTGCGCCTTCATATAGTGATTTCATCACACCACGCAGCTAAAACGACATTATTTTGAAAAAAGGAAAACGAGATTTTTCGTAGTTTCTTTATGGATGTGGTTGGAACGTTCTGTGCAACTCGCAGAGCAACCGGCGCAATCTGTTTTTTTTGCTTTCTTTAAAAATCTATAAAAACTTGTTCACACCAAATTTGATCTTCGCGAGTCTGTTAATGGTAAAAAGCTATATTGCATCTCGGTGGAAAAATTCTACCTATATCGTGGAAAAAAATTTAGACGAATAGTTCAGTTTTTTGAAATGTTGACTGGTTTTTGGAAACTTAAAGATCTTATCGATATCTACCCTGCTAAATCTGCAATTAAGGTTTTGGGGAAAATAACAACCTGAAAACGTATCGCCTGGAAGGGCTAATTCTGGCAAATTGGGCAAAGAATCAGTTTGGACTGAGGACTTAGATTTGAAATATCTGACATTTTCTGACAATGACAATCTGAAGATGACAATGACTTCACATGACAATTCTGAAATTCAGCAATCAATCAAACGGAGATTCTTAAAAGATTTCTCTTGCAAATGGTTAAAGGGAAGTGCTCATTTTGATGGCACTGTTGATGCATAGTAACGCCAGTTTAATAACGTACAGTCTTCAACTTATCAATGAAATTTTAACTCGGGTTTAAAATAAAATTTTTCTAGTTTTTCTGTGAACTAAAAAGGCATGTCTGTACGGCAGTTGGCTCTACTTCTTGGGTATCCGAGGATTGACGTTCGAAACCCGTTGGAGCCATTTGTTTTTCAAAATCATTCATTTCCCCTTTGCAACCTACTTTTTGGCGTTTTTTCGAGCGTGTTTGCGAAGTGCAGCTTCGCCCTTGTGTAAAGAGTAACAAATAAGAACACAGCCTTAGCTGGCTTTTTTGCTTAATTTTCGCTAAAGCGTTTAACTTTATTAAAAACGTCTAGCATGAGCATTTGGTCAAACTCAAACAGTTTTAAAGCCACACATTTTTTGTTTTGTATTCGGAAATTAAAATTTGAACAAAAATGATTTGTTTTTTTTTTGTTTTCTGTGCCTTCAATGGAACTTCTCTAACTTTGTCTGCTGGCAATGATTTTGCTCAGAAAACAAATTATAACACGAGCCAGCGCTATTGTTTTAGTACGAGTTAACTTTTTTCCAAAGCTACTCGCACAAATTATTGGTCAACAAACAGCTTTTTTATGCTATCGTATGCAATTTAATAGCTTGTATTTTATCCGCTTGCGACTAGTGATTTGGTGTCTGAAAAACGCTTTGGCGCAGTTGTGAGGACATCATTCACTACTTCTGGAAGTCAGTCGAGGATAAGAATTCTGTAGAAGACAATTTTTTCTACTTAGCAAAGTAAACGTATCAAGACATTCATTCAGGTCGCCAAACTTTTATAAGTTTCTTTAGATGTATGTTTTTGCATTTTAAAATTGTTTACTGTTTTTTTTGCCTAAGTGTAGCAGCTTCGCCTCTGCCCAAACTGCAGCTTTGCCTCTGTATGAATGCCTTGTTTTTGTGCTTCAAGCTCCAAACTCAATTAATCTGAAATTTAATCTGCTGTCTTAATTTTATCCCAACCATTGAAAATGGGAAAAATTTTATTTAGAGCATTTCAATTTTTTCTTTTTTTGTTTCACACATACAGTTACGTACCACAAATAATCCTTGAATTGGGTCGAATTATTTATCAAATAAAAACGCTTTCAATCACGACTGGCAAAACGTTAGAAAAAACTTGCCAGAAGTGGTTTTGGTGTCGAGACAATTTGGTTAACATTGTTAAGTTTAAGTTCAATTTTGACCAAGTAAAAAGATAGGCCGAAAAAATTTTTTTTGTTGATTTTTAGTTGAATGAGTTTTGCGCAAATAAAAAATATTAAGATTTTTAGGCCTAAAAAAGTTGGTTTTACTAAAAAAAAAAAACTTATTTTGGGAGCTTAATTTAGCTCCTTTGACAGAAATTTTTTTCCAAAATTTATAAACAAATTGTGCAAAAAAAAATTTTTTGTTTTCTTAAAATTTTTCAATTTAGAAACTTATGACAAAATTTTGTTATTCCTTTACTGTTGTATGACTAGTGTTGTTAATTACGACTAATTGACTAATTGTTTACACGTTTTATAGTTTTTTTAATCACATTAAGCTCTAAAAATTTTAGATCAAGCTTATTTGAAGACAATAAATAAAAACAAGCTCTGCTGTAAAACCATTAAGAGTGAAATGATTTACAAATGAAACACCAATAATTAAATGTGTATACAATCAAAGAAATGTGTAAAAATGCTAACCTACTTTTTTAATGACCTGGTTAACTCGGAAGTTTTTTCATTTTTTAGCTTAGCGTTTCGACCCTTGAAAAAGTTGAGGAACTTCTTTGTGTTTGTGTGTGCTTTAGTTTTTTTCTTTTAGTTTTCCACACAAAGTCAAGTGCCAAAAAACATCATAATGTCTCGTTTGGTATGCCATAATAGAGCTTCTTTTTGTCGTGATTTGCAAGGCATTTAAAAATTTTCAAGAAAAAAAATCAGAGTATTGAGAAAAACTGGTTCTAATTTTCATTTTTCATTTCAATTTTGAGCAAAAAAGCGATCGAGCAGGCTTCCAACTGCTGAATTAAGCTTAATTTAAGCCCTGAAAACTTTTTAATTGCAAGCAAACTAAAACAGTTTTTTGTTGTTTTTAGTCTCAATTTGGGAACCTAAACTTCAAAAAATCATAAATTTTTTTTCATTTTTTAAACTTTTTCTAGACAATTATCTAGAAAGAATTTTATCCAATTGCCTTTCATTTTATCAGTGTCGAAAAAGTCTAAACTATAGATTTACATCAGATCCTTTTATCACACTACGCAGAAAAAACTACACTAATTTGAAAAGAACAATTTTGTTTTGTAGTTTATGGTCGGAACAATTTGTGCTACTTGCTTTAAGCGTTTTATTTGATCAGATGTTTGCTAAAACCTGTTGTGCAACGACCGAGGTTTTGCAAGCACCTGATCAGATTCAAAAATTAAATGAATGAGCTTGACCTTGAAAGTGGAATTAGATTAAAAAGAAAAGACAAAAAAGGATTATCAATCTAGAAAAAAGGATTCCACTAACAATAGCTAAGTCCTTGCTTTTAAACTCCGCATTTGCTAGATAAAAATTCAAGCTGCAGCTCATAATTGTTCAGTCAAGGACTGGTTTAATTCAGTATAACGAACAAAATAACCATTTTATTTATAACATTTTGGAAGTCCACTAACATTTTGCTGAAACCGCTTGCAGTTGCGGAATGCAGAACAACCAGCCATATTTGCTTATTGCGGATTCAGCGACAAAACAAATGTGCAGACAAAATTACGTGACAGGGAGAAATTTTCTCAGTGAAAGCCACTAACGTTTTAGAACATGTTGAAAGACTTGTCTCTGGAATCCAGGAACACACAGATTTCAAATTGTGCGCCTACCCAGTGCAAAGTTTGGCCACGTAATGCAAGAAGCAGAAAAAAACAAATAGCTTTTTAAAGAAAATTTTCAAATTTTGAACTTCAAAGAAATAAATATGACATCAAGGCTGTTTGATTTTCAAGAAAATTTTTGCAGGCAAAACAGGGCATTTAATACAGCAAATTGTTCTACCTTTTTTTGCAAGGGAATTGGGAAAAGGACTGCAATAAACAGTACTGATATCTATACAATCTTATATACAAATTGATTGATAATCCTTTTTTGTCTTTTCTTTTTAATCTAAAATCCACTTTCAAGGTCAAGCTCATTTATTTAAATGTTGAATCTGA